CTGTTCAAACAGAGAAGAAAAGCACTTATTTTAATGTGGAATCGTGTTTAAAGTCCAAATGAATATCTTGTTTCACTGGTACAATAGCTCGCAAATGCAATTTCATTCCGACTTCAACATCAACCTTCTCAGTTTCTATTTACGCACCGGCAGGGATGAAAGACGTCACTGAAATGTATAATTACAGTAAACGGTGTCGGCAAACACTTAAGACAACAGCAACAAGAGTTTGTCATTCAAGCAAGCATTGGCAAACAAACACTCCTAATTGGCCATTGGCGATTGCACAACAGTTTTAACAGCTGGTGACCCCTGACCTCACTGTTAAAACTAGGCCAGACGACACAAACACACACATGTGTGGCACAGCTGACATTACAGCCCTGTCAGGCATGAAAACACACACACACTGACCGCCATCGCCATTACCAGCCAAAAACAATAATAAAGAACCGACCACAGCTTTCATTTGCAACCTAATGGGAATTTACATACAGGATTCACAGGGGGAAAACTAGGGTTGTGTTTAGATTCATTATAAAAAAAAATGACACAATAATGTCCTTGAATCATTATAATGAACAAAAAAAGCATTGAAAACGCCATCTTTTCCTATTTAAAACTCAACAGCTCAGACATTTCCATCATTTCAAGGGATCCATCACTTCAGATGTGCTGTGTGTCTGATTCTTGAACGCCATGAAGAGGTTAACCTCCCCGAACCTGCGCAAACACACTGCTACCCTCCACACAGCGCTTTAAAACCTCTCTGAACTCCATCACCTGACGTCCAGCCAAGCAAAACGTCCAGAAACGCACATAAATACGACACACGGAGGGCGAGCTGAGGTTAGCAGGCGTTCATTTAATATATGGAGGATTTCCATTACGGAGGATAAATGAGCCGATATATCTGCGCTCCTCGCTGTGTGCGTGTTTACAGTAACGCCAGGCACACCACTCCCCGTGAATAATAGTCTCTCAGGACGACATGAAAGCGTGTTTGGATGGGATATTTAGTGCATGCTATGCTGCCGTTTCCATGTGTGATAACAGATGATCATAGAGGTCAAAAATAGAGAAGATTCATGTCAGGATGATCATATTAACAAGATTAGTGTATAAGGTGTACACGTTAAAACATTTCCCACACTGTAAAAAATTATCGTGATTTTAACGGTAAAAGACTGTAAAAATGCTACAGTGCAAAACTGTTAATTGGTTAACAGAAAGTTTCCGTACTATATACGGTAAACAACTGTGATAGATCTAACGGTGCATTTAATGTAATTTTACTGTGAAATACCGTTAAATTTACAGTTTTTGAAAGTGAAAAAGAACGACTCATTGTATAATTTACAGTGAAAAACCGTAAATTGACATTCCCACAATTCCCTGCGTACTTCACATTTGATTTATTTTTGTTGAAATAACGGTTTCTTCTTAGTTTTCTTAGTTCTTTTCTAATCAGTTATGTACATTAGGGTTTTAGGTTACATTTAATGTTGTTAAATTTATGTTTATTGCATTTTTAAAATTTCATGTGTGTTACCATGATGGTGTTTAATGAAGACTACTTGTGATCAGCTTTGATCATGTGAATTTCATCACTGTTGTGATGATTGTTGGTTATCAGTGTATTACAATGGTACAAAACAGATATTAATACTGCAATAGGTTGGTAAATTAACATTATATCAGATAATGAAATACGGTATATTACTGTAAATTTTATGTTAAGTCTGTAAAACCAATAACGTTGATACCGTATTTTTGACGGTAAAGTTCAGGGTTTTTTTACCGTAAAAACAACAGGATTTTTTTTACAGTGCATCATTCCCAGTGCCAGCACTTGAATTCAAGTCATGATAAAATAGATTCACACTTTGCATCTGCTTTTAACTTCTGTTTGCAGGTTTACCAGCGCAAATGCTAAACAGAAAATCTCCAAAGGATCCATTTCATTTTGTTCAAGAATGTCACCAATACATTTCATAATCACGAAACATCCAACCTCACAAGGAACAAATATCCCGTAGGACATGACGGCAGCATTAATACAGTAAGTTGCCATGAACATTTGATGTCTAGGAACTTTTTGACATCTGAACTGAATCTGTTTCATGGCAATAACCACATATAAGGCAAAACAGCAGTTTAAAAAGGAACGTAAAATAAAAAGTTGCAATACAACCAAATATAAATTCATGCAAAACATCTGAGAGGTTCGCTGAGGATATTTTCCCAAAATAAAACACTAAAAACATTTGTATTTATGTTTATTTAAAATCAATTGCTATAAGTCAATTTTGGCATCACAACATGAAACTCTAATGTTTGACAAATGGAAAAAAAAAATGATTTTTTTTTTCAAAATAGAAGCGCATATAATAAATTAGGCAAGGGTGTAGAGTTACATTCAAGCTATTTTAAGAAATGAAGACATTTTTTTCAATGAAAAAACGCTTAAGTATGTAATTTTGGTGATCAAAGATGAGTTTTAAGGGATAAAATTATTGACTACAGGGGGACTTTAAGAAATGAATACTTGTTTTAAGCAAGGATGCATTAAATTGAGCAAAAGACTTTTACGTTGTCACAAAAATACTATTTCATTTCTATTCATAAAAAGGCATTTAAGTGAGGAAGGTTACAAATTTGCAAGCAAATATGAAACATTGAAACATCTGAGAGGTTCGCTGAGGATATTTTCCCAAAATAAAACACTAAAAACATTTGTATTTATGTTTATTTAAAATCAATTGCTATAAGTGAATTTTGGCATCACAACATGAAACTCTAATGTCTGATAAATGGAATAAAACTAAAAAAAAATCAAAATAGAAGCGCATGTAATAAATTAGGCAAGGGTGTAGAGTTACATTCAAGCTATTTTAAGAAATGAAGACATTTTTTTCAATGAAAAAACGCTTAAGTATGTAATTTTGGTGATCAAAGATGAGTTTTAAGGGATAAAATTATTGACTACAGGGGGACTTTAAGAAATGAATACTTGTTTTAAGCAAGGGTGCATTAAATTGAGCAAAAGACTTTTACATTGTCACAAAAATTCTATTTCTATTCATAAAAAAAAGCATTTAAGTGGAGGAAGGTTACAAATTTGCAAGCAATTATGAAACATTTTTTCACAAGAGCATCTAGTTTTCCTCTTCCTCAGTCTACATCCCACCGGTCACCAGCTGTTTCCACACGGCCCTCGAGCTGCGGGGGAACCGGGAGACATGCCAAACCAACACCGAGCCACCGCCGGCACGGACCGGGTCACGCAGGGGTCGCTGGGAATCTGACCCCCAGCGTAAACAGCTGATGTCATGCGAGCCGAGAGATCTCTGCCCGGCATGATGTGTTTGCTCTGAAAGCTCAGATAAGGACTCGGATAAAGAGCTGGAACATCCATTGACTTTCAACACAAACGCCTTTGTGCCAAACACACAGGAAACATTCAGTGCTTTCAGTCAATATGAAACAAAACGACTTTTAATTAATTGCTGACGTGTCATTGAATGTGATTAATCCTAATTTAGACCCAGACAGCTGTTCCAGTCCGGATGCGTCCTAATTCCTCTCTATTGTAAATTGTGGGAAATAGCAGCCAGCCATAAATAAATCCAGACATGCCTGCAACGTGAGACATTTGTCTGTGGTTGCAAAAGTATGCGTCAAGACGACGGTAAAGTTAACAACAAAATCACTAAAGCAGAATTAAACCTTTGTGTAGATCTCTAACACTAGGAGTGAGTGATGCTTAAAGTGATACAAACACTCTCTCTTCTCTGTATGTTTGGGAAACGCCAAAAAAAACGTATCATCTTTTCGGAGCGAGACTCGACAGGCCCCAGTGGATGCGGTACAGTAGCTCTCCGTTTCTGGGCTTCCACGTGTTGCTTTCATTGGATCCAGATGTTTCTATCCCACAGTCCAGCGCTGCGTTCAGAGACTCACTGTTCTTCTGCTGCAATGCAATTAAAACTGAAGACGTTATCAGACTCTCAAACGCTTGGAAATTCCCTTCATTTCAACAGCTGGTCATTACTGGTGGCCTTCATCCAAAACAGATCTGGCTCTAAAAAATACCGTATTTATAGTACGGTACAATTAGATGCGTTTAGCCGCGCTATTGTTTTGAAGACGCGTTTTTAAAGCTCCAGTCCGTAACTTTTTTAAGTTAAAAATAATCCAAAATAATTATATTAAAAAAAACATATTCTGCCAGTGGTCAAAACTATCTGCTTTCCATAGCTAGATTCAAAACGGTTAGCTTGTAATAATGATTTTAATTCCAGTGGTACTGGTGGGTTTCCGCGGGAAATTCGAGCATGTCTTTGCGTCATGACGTCACACCCGTACACATAAAGAAGGAGTTTCGGCTAGCCGGCTATACTGCGCGTGACGAGATGTTTAGATGTATAGGCTTTTCTCGCAGCACTTTACATGATTAAACTTATGGCATCCAGAAAGATCCAGACAACAATCATCAGTGTCAACTGGAGATTCAGCAGTTATAAAACCCAAAAGACTTCGTACTTCGGATTTAAGGTGGCTAGAGAAAGAGAAAGAAACCGTCTCATGCGAACACAAGGATTAAACATCGGCGGGGCTTTTGAAAAGTGCGTGAACTCCGTGTTTTGAAGGGGTTCGAAACGGAAGAAGAGACGGCTTTTTTCTGCTGAACAAGTAAGACATTTCAATAGTTCAATCGTGTAACAGTACGTTTTCTTAATTCACACAGTTATGGAGTTTCCTTTGTTGTGCCTTTCTCGTTTTGCTATTATGGAGAATATGAATTCTGAACTACACAGGTAACCATAAAACACATTAAATTTAACATTAGTCACGCAATGCTGATGTTGTTAACATGAACAATTTGAGAACAAAGTAGGCTATAATTTGCACGGTTGCTGTAAATCGAGTTGATTAAATCTAACGAAGCTTATCATGTCGAATGCTTTTTCCCCCTTAGTTGGTCAGAACAAAAATGG